AAAGCATATATTTCTTCTAAATTAACAATCTATTCCCTTTAAATATTCTTTCACATTTTTAACACTGTTAGTTTTCAAAACCCCATTAACTAGCAAGCCTAAACTTAATATGTTATATTTTCCCTAAAAACCCTACAATCCAGCTCTCACACTGCCAAAGCCATATAGCTTACACTTTGTCCTGAAACATCTGGTGTTCTCTCTAAATAAGTAACCCTTTAATTATATTTCCCCTGCAATTCCTCTCTAAAAATTCAGACTGCTGTTTTTATGGCATGTTTGAATACTGATCGTTTTATACTTGCTACTTCTAGGATTTTGCTGTATTGTTTGTGAGCAGGTCTCTAGAGAAATGACACACACCTTTTCTAAGTCAGTAAAGGAAGCCAGGACCTTCCTAAGTGGATAACTTGTAGTTAGTTAATCACAGATCTATGGCTCCACTTATCACAACCCTGTTCTCATGTCAACAGTGCTGTAAAAAGGAGTGCATGAAACCAATTCCTCACAAGGAAAACGCTCTGCATGGGTGGCAGCATCCCCTCCTGTGGGTCTTGCTGCTTGCTATGGGCTGGCCCCCTACCTTGAACTCCAATCTTTACTTGCTCCATGGAACAGCCAACAAAAAATGTTCTGCAGTGTGCCAAGGCAACAGTCAGCAGTGCCACCTGGTGGATTCTGTATTTTTCTACACACACAGTACTCTCCAGATAGTGACCCTGGAGCTAGCAAGCCCCTGACAAGACCTGAAGCACCACCCCAGGCCCTCTCAAAGTAACATACTTACCTTCCATGGCTGATTAGTTTATGAGAGGCAGCAGTCAACTCGGACACGACCCACGCACATTTACTGTGGCCATTTTTGATAATGTAAGGATAGTCCATTTTAAAGCGAGGTCTGAAGGCACTGCCAACAGGAACAAATTCCCACGGCAAAACCAAAAAGGAGTCTTGAGGCCCCTTATATACACTTTAACACACATATGAAGTTGGCAGACATCTGAGGATTTTATATCCCAAATTCTCAACCCTTATGGGTTCATACGTGAGTGTGCATTCACACACAAGGCTAGGGAAAAAGAAGCAGAACCCAACAAAACACAAAAGGCAGATTCTGTGACATTTCTGTCCAAGACTCCCCTGTATATAAATTCAACAACAGTGACCAGTCATAACAGAAGTAGTAGGTGGCGTCACAGTCCTCTTTGCTGTGCTAAGCTCATTTAACATCTCTCTGCCTACCTAGTTAATTTTATCGAAGAAGAAGGAGGAGGAAGAGGAGATTAGATTTATACCCCGCCCTTCACTACCCAAAGGAGTCTCAGAGCCACAATCTCCTTCCCCTTCCCCTCCCCACAACAGACACCCTGTGAGGTAGGTGAGGCTGAGAGAGCTCTTTCGAGGACTGCTCTTGAGAGAACAGCTCTGAAAGGACTTATAACTGACCCAAGGTCACACCAGCAGCTGCATGTGGAGGAGTGGGGAATCAAACCCAGTTCTCCCAGATTAGAATCCGCGCTCCTAACTACTACAGACTACACCAAACTGGCTCTCCTACTCTTGCTCCAAAGAGCTCAAGGCAGCAAACACAGGTCCCTTCTCCCCATTTTATCATCACAATTAAGGCAACGTTATTGATGTGAGAACACAGGCAGCATTCAACACCTGGGATTCATGTCTCCTTCAGCTAACTTCATTTAAGATTTTGTATCCAGCCTTCCTGTGGCAAAGTGCGGTATACTTTATTATTCTGTTTTGTCCTCACAACGACCCTGTGAGGCAAGCTAGGCCAGACAAGCAGAGAGCTGTCCCAAAGCAACCCAATGAGCTTCACAGTTAAACAAGGTTTTGAACCTCAACCCCGACTTTGTAAGCTTCCCTGAGCCCATTCACAGGGAGGACTGGGTATAAATATGCTAAAAATAAATAAATAAATGTATTTCCCACTGCTAATCCATAGTATCAGGAGTCCACGAACGTACATACAAAGTTGCCAATGGTGACCATCAATTTTACTCTTCCAACTAGCAAAGAAAGCACAAGAGTACTTTACGGGCCAGAAAGCACAAGAGTACTTTACGGGCTCGCAGTGTGTTTCTGAGGCCTATCTAAAGCACTGGTTTGTACCTGGGCACCCCGAGAAGAGAAGAGGATTGGATTTATACCCCGCCCTTCACAACCCAAGGGAGTCTCAGAGCGGCTTACAAACTCCTTTCCCTTCCCTACCCCACAACAAACCCCCTGTGAGGTAGGTGGGGCTGAGAGAGCTCTTGACAGAAACTGCTCTTTTTTCAAGGACAGCTGTTGTCAGAGCTATGGCTTGCCCAAGGTCATCCAGCAGGTGCAAGTGGAGGAGTGGGGAATCAAACCTGGTTCTTCCAGATTAGAGTCCACGCACTTAACCACTACACCAAACGGTCCTCTCCAGCTACTCTGGTTGTCAGTTTATTTTGGAGATCAATTCAAGGTACTGGTTATGACCTTAGCTACAAAGCTGTCAAACAAAAGTGAAGCAGCATGTGATGACCCCTTCAGTTTTGTTTTACTCTATATATCTGGCTGCCACCAGGAAATTTTAAAAGGATTTCCAAACCTTTATGCTTTCTCTATTTCTGGGTAGGAATGTCGAGGGTTTTAGGCGTTCATGAGGGTCTATGTGGTCCTGGGAAGTATTTCTTTCAGAGTGGGTAATTTTAAATAAAAGAGGATTTATTGAAGTAATTCACAAATAAAAGATTAACTCATTGTAACCAGGAAGGCTTAAATACTGAACACATGCTTGGTGTATAACACACTTTTCTCTTTTACTGACAGGGATCTGGGCATGTCACTTTGTAACAATATTTTCCTTAGGCCATATACGTTAACTGTTTCTTATACATTCAACTTCAGCTTATAACTGTTTCAACACAGGCGGCTTCTCTCACAGACTTCAGAACTTAACAACCCCACAGGGAAGCTTTTCTTCTCTCTCCAACCTAGCTTAACTTTTCTTCAACTGTCTTTTTCAACTGTCCAAACTCTAACAGTCACTCCTGATAGACATTCAAATCATCCACACAGCATCCATTCCAAAACCCCTCCCCCTCTCTGTCACTAACCAATCATATCACTTGCCTGAGTCCAGCACTCTAGATTATCATCACAGCCATGCAAACCAAACTTTTAAAGCTACACACACACAGTTAAACATGAAATCATTACACAGCACTTAACAGCTTTGCGTGTTGCCTCCAAAACGTAGACCCAAAAATTACTGTGGGCAACTTCAGACCTTCATTAAAAGTCTCAGCCAATTTCAAGCGGCAGGAAGTTTGGGTCAGGCTTTTAAAGATACCCTCTCTGATGGCAGAAAACTGTACACTTATAGTCTCTGCTTCAGGAGATGTGTATTTAAAAATGTACTGGTGAATATGATGTTGCTAAGGGTAGGAGCAAGCTGCCCACATGTCCAAACTATCCTCCAGCACAGCAGGATTCAGCTCACTCTCAGGCAAGGCCTTCTGCTCCTCATTGGCCCTTTCTGCACTGGCTGCTTGCTCTGGAGAATCTGAGGAGTCAGGCCTTAAGGGTTGACTTTGCAGTTGCACGCATTCCCTCTGCACTGGTCCCCCCCCCCGGATTATTTATTTGTGTATTCTGTGTGCATTCTGCAACAACAAGCAAAACCTGCATTTTTGAGCTAACTGGCTGTTTTGTCTCTAAGATGAAGAGAAAGGCAAACATCTCTCAAAACTTTTAACTGCAGACACAGCCCCTCCCTCCCTCCCTCCCTGATTCTGCAAAAAGAAAGGGAAGGGAAAATCCAGGCCCACACACGCAAGACTGACACATCTGGGAGCAGGGAATCCCCATGTCCTTTATATTTACTGATTCCTTCTTACGCTCTCTCTGGCTTTTTAAAAGTTTGCCTGAGTGGGAGGACACGCCTTTGGAGAAGGAGGGAAAGAAAACAGAATGGAAAGGGAGCGTCCACCTAAAGAGAGAGAGGCGGAAACAGGGGAGGGCAGTGGGCAGCACTTAAATACCCGCAGAAACAACTCCCCTTGAGAAAGGATTAGCGATCTGAAAGTGGATGAGAACAAAGCATTGCAACAAAAAGGAGTTTTGGTAGCCGTGGGGCAACAGTGTGCTGGGAGCGGTCTGAATGCAGATTCCTGTAGAACAGAAACAAGAGAAAGCCCCGACACAAACTGGAAGTGAAAGCAGGAGGGTGTGCAGAATGGAAGAACAGGATGCGCTCAGAAACTAAGGCAAAATACGGGTGCTGAAAGAGCCACGGTTGAACCCAAATGCCCTTTGATTAAGCCTTTATTTATTGTTCACTAAATTACACCTATGCTGACAGGAAGAATAATTTCATTCAGCAAAACAGAATAGCAGGGCTCACAATAAAATTAAAGTGACAAAAAAAATGGCTGCTGGAAATTCTGTGAACAAACGATATCACAAGTCAAGGCGTTAGATAATTATCCTTTTCTCCTGATCCAGTCCATATTTTTTTCCTTTTCTCCTGACTGTACAGTAGGGCTGCCAAGTCCCCCCGGGGGGCGGAAATCCCCCCGCCCCAGAGGCCCGTTCCCCGACGCCGGGGAATCGGGCCCTGGGGGGAACCCCGCCCAAGCGTGCCCGTCACAGGGAAGTGAGGTCATGACGCCGGGCACGCTGGGTGCGGGGCCACGGCCATACAAGGGAAAACTCTATGGTTTTCCCTTGTATGGTCGTGGCCCCGCCCCCAGCGTGCCCGGCGTCATGACCTCACTTCCCTGTGACGTGCATGCGGCGCCCGTGTGCGCCAGGATACGAACAGGAGTCTCCCGCTGGCAGGGTAAGTGCCACTTGGCAACCCTACTGTACAGACTGCTTTCCAGAAGGATGGCAAGACAGGGATTGGAGAACAGGAAAGCATGAGCATCAAGAACGAGAAGTGTTTTGGAAAGGGGGGGACAGCATATGTAGCTATATACTCAACATTCAGGTGAGATCGAGCTGTAGCCTACCTTTCAGAAGGGGCTGGAAAGTTGGGATTTCCTGCAGCTTGATGACTTCAGGGTCGTTGCTGACATTGCGAGAGGACTGGGTCCCTTGCGCCACCACCACAATGTCATCCATTTTGGCTCGTTGCTTGGCTGGTGAAGGGGATGCTGGGAAAGATAAATCCAAACCAACCAATAAAGGCAGCACCAGAAGTACAATTACAATTCTCTATCAGCTGATATTAGCCCACGAAAAAAAACCCCAAATATGCTATTTAATCTATTGCCTTTTTTAAAAAACCCAATCTAATCCAGGGGAAGAATTCACCATGGGGGCTAGAAACACATTTTTAAAAATTAATTCCTTATTGTACTATCCATCTTCTGTCCTTATCCCCAATTGTGGAAGGTGTTCCTTTCGGTAGTCAGGGCCAGTTCACACATGCATAAAGATAGTTTCACAGGGTAGCCGTGTTAGTCTGCAGTACAACAGCTGGATCCAAGTCTAGTAACATCTCAGAAACCTTCTCAAGAGCTTCTATCCCGAAAATCTTGTTGGTCTTGAAGGTGCTACTGGGCTCGAATCTAACTGTTCTACATGCATAAAGGTATCCCTCGGTGACCTGCAGCTGACTGTGTGAATTAGCCTTTGGACAAAACTGCAAGAGCTTTAGTATTCAAGAGGCTCCCGGAATACTCAGCATTACTATGCTGGGGGTTATTATTAGGAAGGGAATTGATAACAAATCAGCCAGTATCATAATGCCCCTGTATAAATCAATGGAGCGACCTCATTTGGAGTACTGTGTGCAGTTCTGGTCACCACACCTCAAAAAGGATATTATAGCATTGGAAAAAGTGCAGAAAAGGGCAACTCGAATGATAAAAGGGTTGGAACACCTTCCCTATGAGGAAAGGTTAAAGTGCTTGGGGCTCTTTAGCTTGGAGAAATGACAGCTGAGGGGTGACATGATTGAGGTTTACAAGATTATGCATGGGAAAGAGCAGGTAGAGAAAGAGGTACTTTTCTCCCTTTCTCACAATAAAAGAACTCGTGGGCACTCCATGAAATTGCTGAGCGGTCAGGCGATAAAAGGATAGTGATAAAAGGAAAAAGATAAAAGGAAGTACTTCTTCACCCAAAGAGTGATTAACACATGGAATTCACTGCCATAGGAGGTGGTGGTGGCTACAAGCATGGACGGCTTCAAGAGAGAATTAGATAAGCATATGGAGCAGAAGTCCATCAGTGGCTATTAGCCACAAGGTATAGATAGGAACTCTCAGGCTGGGGCAAGGGATGCTCTGTCTTCTTGGTGCTGGGGGGGGGGCAGCAGTGGGAGGGCTTCTAGTGCCCTGGCCCCACTGGTGGACCTCCTCATGGCACCTGGTATTTTTGGCCACTGTGTGACAGAGTGCTGGACTAGATGGGCCAGTGGCCTGATCCAACATTGGCTTCTCTTATGTTCTTACTGAGGTAGCCTCTAGAAAATGCATGCATGGCCATAGGCAACCTGTTGATCACAAGTGACTGCTGGAGCAGCAGCTAGTCCAAAGCCGTCCACGGCCTGCCCAGCCTAAGCTCCAGCAGCCATCGCCCTCAGCACCCCAAGTGCTGACCATGTCTTCCGCTAGGTGCTCTGAGTCAGGTGCTTCAAAACGGCCACCGTGTTGGGCACAGAGCAGGGAGTCTTTTCGAAACCCTGGCAGGTACTCAGGCAGCAGCTGCACCCCCATCATGGCTAGACACCCTCATTAAATACAGCGGCATTTCCTGAGAAAATAAAGCAGCATTTTGCTCTTCAAATGCCTGAACCCTCAACGGTCCTAAAAATGTAAAGGTTCCCTTGCTCGAAAGCCAGTTGCATCCGACTCTAGGGTTGCGATGCTCATCTCCGTTTCAAAGCCGAAGAGCCAGCGCTGTCCAAAGATGTTTCCGTGGTCATGTGGCCGGCATGACTAAACTCCAAGGCGTGCGGAACGCTGTTACCTTCCCACTGAAGTGGTACCTATTTATCTACTTGCAATTTCTTGCTTTCAAACTGCTAGGTTGGCAGGAGCTGGAACCAGAGACGGGAGCTCAGTCCGTCATACAGCACACTTGGGTCTCGAACTGCTGAACTACCGACCTTCCACAGCTTGCAGCTCAGCGTCTTAACCACCTGAGCCACCGCAGCTCCATTAACAGTCCTACCGAAAGTCATATTTTGTCTAACTGGCTGGCAGTGTCTGCCGGGAAGCCTTTAACCCCCTTCTCTAATACTTGCGGAAGTATGCAGCCCTTGAATTCAGCACGAAAACAGTGATTGCGCTGGTTTCACTTCTTCATGAGGCCAGGCTCAGTGTTTTTAACATCTAGAACTTAAGGCCTTGCTAGCTGCTGCCGCCGCCGCCCCTGTGTCTAAAGGGAGCTGGACTTTAGAATGTCCTGGCCAGAGGCTCTCTGTGCTTCTGTAGCCACCGCATTCCCAGAGTCTGAGATGAGACTCCCTGCTCTGGAGTAACTCAGCTGGGGTGGATTACTGTTATGGGGGGTGTCCACCCGGGGGTACAGCAGGTAATTGTAACTGGCTTTATGGCCCCTCTTTGCCGTTCTGCAAATGGTTCTGGCTAGCAGGCTCCAGAGGTGTGGCTGAGAAAAATTATTTCCCTGTTACTAACAAATGGCATTTATATCCCACAGCCTTTCCCCCATATGCAATATGTTCCTCCTGGGCAACCAGTCAGCAATTCCCCCTCCCTCTGTAATAGCTGCTAGCAGCATTTGCTACACACAGAGCACGGAGGAATTATGGACAGCACAGGAAGGCCCTCCCCTCAGAGCAATGCTGGCAGAACCCCATGGCAATGCCGTGCCAGTGCAATCCCATGCACAAGGTGTGGGGAGCATAACCACATTTCTAGGTGGCGGCCAGCACCCCCAACCCCTGCTCCTCCTAGCTAACCGCTCATGACCACTTTCGCCTTCCTTGATCAGCACTGCAAACAGAAACTGCAGGATGCCAAAGCCACTCCCTGCAAGGGATAGTGCAGTCCCTGAGCTGAAAACTACCTATCCCAACAGAGAAATCCCAGCATGGGACAACCTCATGGAATTGTGGGGGGGGGGGGATCAGAATGGGATCCGCGTGCGGAATCCTCACGCTCACTTTCCGTCTCTGGCCCCAGCTAAACACCACCCACTCCCATCCTCGTGTCTCTTTCAGCTCTTTGCAACAGCACTGGCCAGGATGGACCTCATTCACAGTGCACAGCCTTGGGTTGGTTACAAGTTCTCTCAGAGCTGTTTTCTCACAAGCAGTTCTCAGCCCCACCTACCTCACAGGGTGTTTGTTGTGGGGAGGGGAAGGGAATGGAGATTGAAAGCCAATTTGGGACTCCTTAGGGGAGTAAAGAGCAGGGTATAAATGCAATTTCCTCCTCCTCCTCCAACACTCTCATTCCAGTCATTGGCATGGAGCAATCAGGAGAGGTCCCTCTAGGATTCTGAGGTAGGACTCTGCAGCTCTCAAAGGCACAGGAATCCTGATAGGCCCAGAGAGTTGGCAACTGGATCCACCTGACTTGCCCTGAGAATTCCATTCCATATCTTTCCCATTGGTAGACAGGGATACATTTCCACTACTACCCCCCACCCAGGGAGCTGAGGCGACCTCCACACTCTGCACAATATGCAAAGGAGGACAGGTCCCTCGGGGTACACAACCCCCAGGTAACTGCTGATATGATACGAGAACAAGGGCTGCCAGGATGACTAGTAGGTGGTGATATAGAACCTCCTATAGAGGGGTGGCTACACGGGAAAGCACAAAAAAACAATTAGACTGGAGTATGGGGCATGAGTGGTCTGTGCCCAACATCTGCCAGCGCAAAGTCTCAGGTGTTCCTGGTATTCCTTCCAGGGTTGCATGGTATTTATTTATTTATCTATCAGATTTATACCCCGCCCTCCACGCAAAGCAGGCTCAGGTAGCTCCATGCAGGACTTGAACTGCAGACTTTACACATGCCAAGCCTGTGCTGTCCCACAGTGCAATGTGCCTCTTCCTGTGTGCTCAATCGGGCGTGTGGTTAGAGGAATGCTCCAGAGTATATGTAAGGTATGGGTTCTAATCACGCCTCCACTGGCCAAACAATGAGTTCTGCCTTACCAGTGAGATCTAAATGTCTGTGTAACCCTTGCCTTACAAAGTTGGCTCTTGGGGCAGCCCTGGAGCAGTTGCCCCTCCAGACTTGAACTCACTTTTGCCTGGGAAAAGGCACAGAAAAGGCCTTTCGGTGGGGCCTTCCTCTGCCAAGCAAACTGTAAAGGCCCCTGGGTAATTGGGATGCTTCGTTCCCTGTGCCAGTCTCTCAAAAGGGAACGTGTCTGCAGGAGCGGATTTGATCCGACACCTACGGAGCTCCCTGGAGGGTCATAGCTGTAGAACTCTTCCTATACATGCCACATTCCCCCCTGCAGTGGAGGCTGCTGGGATGCTTTTGTGCCTTCCCTTTTGATTGGTTGTTGTGGTTGTGGCCTCCAGTGCAGTTGCTACAATCACTGCTCCTCCTTGGGAGCTGGGTCTCTACCAAGAGTGCACCAGATCTGAACTAGCTCTCCTCCACTCACGCTGCTGATGCAACGGAGTCTGGCTGGTTAGAGTGGCTCTGTATGGGAGTGAGCTAGGAATCAGGAACTCTGGTTCAAGATTCTTCTCTGAGCCAGTTTGGTGTAGCGGTTAAGTGCGCGGACTCTTATCTGGGAGAACCGGGTTTGATTCCCCACTCCTCCACTTGCACCTGCTGGATGACCTTGGGCAAGCCATAGTTCTGGCACATCTGTTCTTGAAAAAGAGCCCTGTCTTTCAGAGCTCTCTCAGCCCCACCTACCTCACAGGGTATCTGTTGCGGGGAGGGGAAGGGAAAGGAGTTTGTAAGCCACTCTGAGACTCCTTTGGGTAGTGAAGGGAGGGGTATAAATCCAATCTCTTCTCATCTTCTCTTCTCCTGCCAGAAACTCTGCAGTCCTACTGGCAACTTACTAGGGAGCAAGCCGCAGTTAACAAGCAGGACTTCTGTCTGAATGCAGTGGATTGCACAGTCAGTGGCTTTAGGCCATGACTGGGGCCTGGCCCCCAAGCCATACCTGTTGCCATCCTATCTTGTGCTAAGGCTTGCAGAACTGCTGAGAATTATCAAAGCTTAGCTGGGCACGAGCAGGAAGGAACCCTTGAGAAGTGACCGAAAGGAACTCTGTGGAGAAAATCAGCCATACCAGCTCTGAGCTGTGTTATCTCAGTTCTTACAGTCCAAATAGCCCCAGATAGCCAGACACCAAGGTGCCAGATCTGTTTGGATCAGTTTCAGGCGTTGTGACCCAAAGACACTGACAAAGTGCTTGGAGCAGTCTTTCCAGCAATGGACAAAGGATTAGCCCTTTGTGGCTCATCACAGATGGCCAGGGAGAGGCAGTCAAGCAGATCACAGAAATTTTAAATTTTTCATGGAGGGATGGAAGGGGGCTGACCTTCGCTCAGACAGGCGCTGGTCTTTGGAAGTTACTCTCAGGGTAGGCAACGAACTTCTATGGTTTATGAAGAAATCCGTTTTTACTGACAATCTGTATCTAAATTGGTGGGAATTGCTTGGAAGTGTCGACCCCCACTGTGAAATTAAACTGCACGGAGCCTGTTTGCACTTGACGAGCTGCCCTGACTTAGATGGCCCAGGCTAGCCATATCTCCCCACATCTCAGAAGCTAAGCAGGGTAAGCCCTGGTCAGTATTTGGATGGGAGACCCATAATAAATTCCAGGGCCGCAATGCAGAGGGAGGCCATGGCAAACCACCTCTATTTTTCTCTTGCCTCGGAAACCCGACCAGGTGGCCGATAAGTGGGCTGCGACTTAACAGCACTTTACAGGATGGCACTGCTGGAGAGTTTTGCTTGGTTGCCTCCTGTTGCATTTCTGGAGATGATTTCTGTGATGATTTCTCTCTCTGTAGAGTTATCGGTAGCCTATTTCTTAGATTGGTATTCTACTGCTGTAGCAGATTGTCAGCCACTTTGAACCTGTGTTACAGAAAGATGGGATAAAAGTCTTTGAAATAGAGTACAGGTATGCATCCTGAGCATTTGAGAGCACTACATAAATGCTCAGTATCGGTCAGCCTTTGCCTGTGCTGTAAGCTGCAGGCAGATAAACAATAATGGGGGTTGTGAGCTTTTATTGGGCTTCGCCTTCTCAGGTGCCTTTCAATCAACAGCACAACCTTAATCAACTAAGGACTGGTGCAGCATAAACACACACTATTATTTACTTGAAGTACAGAGTCTGAGGCCAGTGGCACCTTTAAAACCGACAAAGTTTTATTCAAGGTTTTAAAGGTGCCACTGGACTCGAATTTTGTTCTGCTGCTTCAGACCAACACAGCTACCCACCTGAATCTAATATTTACTTGCAGAAGGAAAAAAAATATTTGCATAGTACAGCTTGACTTACAATATACAGACATTTTACTTTGATTGGTCCCCCCACCCACATAGCAAGATGTGTGCATGAAATTTGGGTCATGCTGCACAGCACAGGTGTAATTTGACCAAATAAATTTCCCTTGGGTGGAGCCAAAATTGTTTAGAGGAACCTCAAATGTGTTTTTAGAAGACGCTGAACTGCAGGCTGTGGAAGGTCAGTAGTTCAGTGGTTCAAGACCCGGGTGCCGCAAGACAGGGTGAGCTCCTGTCTCTAGTTCCAGCTCCTGCCAACCTAGCAGTTCGAAAGCAAGAAATTGCAAGTAGATAAATAGGGACCACTTCGGTGGGACCACTTCGTTCCGTGCGCCTTGGTGTTTAGTCATGCCGGCCACATGACCACGGAAACGTCTTCGGACAGCGCTGGCTCTTCGGCTTTGAAACTGAGATGAGCACCGCAACCCTAGAGTCGGATTCGACTGGCTTTCGAGCAAGGGAACCTTTACCGTTACCTTTAATAACAACAGTAAAAGTCTACAAATGGTGGTAAAGGTCCAACTAGTGCATTATTTTTATTTCCCCAGGAACTATAATCAGTGCCTCTGCAAAGCCCAAAATTAAAGGTTAAAAAAGCCTGCCCCCGGTTTCCCACAGGGCTTGCCCTCAGTACAGGTAGACTGCTCTGAAATGGAAGGTTCCACTTTGCTGTGTCATGCTCTGTTGACAGGGCTCGTACAGACTGGCCTCTTTGAGACACGGGCCCCAGGGACTTCAGGAAAGGGATTTTGAAGCATCTCTTTTTACATTCCACACTTCCAGGAGAAAGCGTAAAGCATCTCTATTCGGGCGGCCCTTTTTCGCGCAAAACCCAACCGCTTCTGATCGAGGCAGTAAACTTGTTTTTGGGCAGAACGCTCTCTTGTTCCAAAAACAATCTGTGTCAGCAGCAAGCTAACAGAGAAGGCCAGGCCTCCCCCCCGACAGCTAGCCTTCTGCCTGCAAGGAGACAGATCAAGACGGGTAGCCGCGTTGGTTTGCCTGTAGCAGCAGAAAAGAGCAAGAGTCCAGCAGCACCTTAAAGACTTCACAAAATACGTGGCGGGGGGGATGAGCTTTCGTGAGCCACGGCTCACTTCATCAGCTGGAAACTTGCTCTCTTCTCCGGCCTGCAAGGAGTACTTCGTGCACTGATCCTGGCAGCCTCCCCTCGCCCTCCGAAGCGGCACCGACCAGGGGCACCTACCCGACACGCTGGGCTCGTGAGGCCGGCTGTCCGCATCGGCGCTTTGCTCCGCGCCCATGGCAGGGAGGAGGGGGCTGGCTGCAGAAGGGGAAGAGGGCGGCGGTGGCGGCGCTACGCCCGACCAGGCTGACCCGGACCACCCGGCGCTTTAGGGGACGGCGCGGGGAGCGCCGCGCTGCTCCCCGGAGCCAGGCGCATTTCCCGGAGCTCACAAGCCAGCGCGGCCGCCTTTCGCTGGGCTGACACCACCTCCTCCCGCGGCACACCCACCGCCGAGGCTTCCGCCTTCCCAGCAGCCAGAGCCGCTTTCGGTTCCCGGGTCAAGCCTCGCCCCTCGCCGGGGGGCCGAGGCCGGTACGCCGCCTTGCCCCGCTGCAAGACTCAGTCGGCCAGGGTGGGTCGCTTCCCGGGCGCGGGGCATTGCAGCCCCCACCCCCCCCGGCGTCTTCTTCGGAGGAAGGACGGCCTCTTGCGTTCAGTGGGCCTGGCGCCCGAATCTGCAGCTTGCGGGGGGGGGGGGGGGGTCCTTCGATGGCAGGCGATGATTTGCATGCGCCGAGGTCGCCAAAGCCCGAATGCCCTGTGCACTTATTGGGAAGGAGGCTCCTTCGAAGCGTATCTTCGCGTGACTAAGGATGCGATCGGGCAGCGGCCTGGCATGAGGAGGACGTCCGGAAATGAAGGACAAAGAATTCCCTTTGGCAAGGGAGCTTCCTGAAGGCCCATTGAATATAATGGGAGCCAGGGAGGCCAATGGACTTGCACGGGCTGCATTGAAAGGCATTATACCACATAAAAGTTGCAAAACAAAATGCAGGACAGATTTGGAGAAAACAGTTACATGCCTGAAGTGACAGCCCCCAAAGTGGAATGATGATCCCTGGGATTAGCATAAGTGTTCCGGGACTGGAATAATTTGTGCCTTCACCTGTCAGGTGCTTTCACATGTGCTGAATAATGCAGTTTCCATCCACTTCAGTAACCGTTTGCAAGTGGATTTTGCCATTTCACACAGTAAAATCCAGTTGCAAAGGGAATTGAAAGTGAATGGAAAGTGCATTATTTAGTGGGTGTGGAAGTGAGGCCCTGCAAATCATAAGGGCTTGGCCTAGGGCAGGGGTCTCCAGCATGGCGCCTGTCAACACCCTTCCTAGCACTTGCCAAGTGTCTTTAGCCATGGAGCGAGACTTAGTGGGGCTTTTGTCCAGCAAGGGTTCTGATTGGCCATTGGAGATTCCACTACGCAATTTTAAAAAAATGCTGTTTGGCCAGAAGCAGCCACCACATGAAGTAAGCTGCAGCAGCCATTTTGTGGCTGCTCCCATCACATTGACATGAGCTCCAATTTGGAACTTCCGAAGGTGCCTGCAGTCTCAAAAAGGTTGGGGACTCCTGGCCTAGGGGGTCAGTCTCCCTCACATAGTACCTGCTCTCTGAGGATCTTACCCCTTGGGCCAAACTATATGTCATATGCTTAAATGGCTTGTGTCGACATTCCCCAACTGCCTATGAGGACGTCAGTCACCTATTATGTGGCTGGGAACTCATTTCCCACAAGTGTGTGATTGGTACCATAGCAAGGCCAGAGAATGGGTTGTGTTTCCCTTCCCCATACAGGATTCCCATCACTTCAAATGCCCTGGGATGGCTCTTTGTCCTGTGAGGGGGCAGCACATATAGGCACCTTATTAGGCTTGAGGCTTTTAGTCCTCCTTACTGATGCAAAATGTTGATTGCAACAAATCCAGAAAATGTTAAAAATGTAAATATTTAATTAGATTGTGGCCCCATAGGGCATGGCTGTACATCTTCAGGGTCTGCCATGGCGGGCAGACTCAACATTGCTCAGGAAGGCTCCCTTTCTTGCCATGGCCTAAGTCCAAACAGGTCTCCACATGAGCACTGTTCCCTTCACCCACCGACTCTGCCCCTGTAAAACCTCAGGGACTGAATTGTGCCTCTGCTGTGGGTCAGTCCCCTGGCCTGGTTGTCTTGTCTTGCACAAGTCCCCAATGCCTCCTCTGGACTCCCCTCCCTCGTCTGTGCCTTCCCAATCTTTCCAGGCCAGTTTGCCTGCCTCCTCCCCTTCCTCCTTTGACATCTCCCTTTTTATCCTTGAGGCTCCACATATGCTGGCCACATCTGCCTCTGCAGTGGCATAGGGCTAGCCAGAGAGACCCTTGATGCCAGCTTTGCCCCAGCCAAAGACTCGGGCTGGCAAACCTCCTGCCCACGCATCTGTGCTCAACAGCTCTCTTGTGGCTGGAACATCCCAACTCCTGGGGCCATCATGGGCGGGGCTCTGTCTGCTATGGAGCTGCTGCTGCCTTTGGTCTCCTCTGTCCTCTGCTGCTGCTTCTGTGCCACCTGGGGATAAACAGTGCCTCCTTAAACTAAGCAAGTGAGTTGATCTCAGAGACAGCAGGGAAAGGATGCCTGTTGTCTTGTCAAATGGTTTGGGAGCCAGTTTTCATCCTTCTGAAATAGAAACCTGGCTTGACGGTGGATGTGTTAAAATTTATTTTTAAGAGAAATTGACACTAATCAAAATACAAGTAATAAACATGAGGACTATAATAAGAAATGAAACAATAATTATTGCAAACACAAGAATCCCTATGTTAAGATTTATAAGAAAAATCAATGAGTCAGTAATAAACATTGTAAGCAATGCTCCCTCTAAGCTGTGGAGTCTTGTGAGCAAAAATTCTACTTTGTGAGCTGGCATTTGAGTTGTGAGCGAGAGATTTCGCTGCTGCATAAATGAGTTTGCTCTGGAGCCATCCTTCCTGAGCGAAGACAAAAATGTGTGAGCCGGAGGCAAAAAACCTGTGAGCTAGCTCACACTAACTCAGCTTAGAGGGAACACTGATTGTAAGTTTAATACCTTATAAAGCCATAGTGGAGCCCAACATTCCAATGCACACCCAACAGTGTTTGGAAGCTTGAACTGTCAGTCAGAAGACGCTGGCTGGGTTGCCTGGCTGCTTTGTGTAGTCCCACCCACGTCAGCCCCCGCCGGTTCAGTCTGCTCAGTCTGCTCTGGGCCTCTGACAGGAGAGGACCATCTGCAGACTGAACGCAGGGACGGGGCTTCTACGGCTGGGCTGCTTCAGCCCACTCTTCTCTGATTGGGCCAGCGTTTCAAGGTCATTTGCATATGGAAGCTGATTGGACTTCACTCCATTCCACACCTCAAACTCCCCCCCCCCGCAAGACAGTTAGAATTGTTGCATATGGAACCTACTATATTCTGAGGTAAAATATGTCCTCACTCACAACACATCACTTCCCCTTCAAAAGAAACAAACCCAATAACACAATCATGCCACACCACAAGAAAGACAGATCACACCACAAGCAGAATACCACAAGGCAAAAAATGATAGGTAAAGGTGCCAGCAGTCACCCCATTACTGCCACAGATGGTATGCAGGTCCCAGGTTCATGTTTTAAAAGCTGCCTGGGGGATTATGGACCATTCACACACTTTCAACCTTAACGTACCTCACAGGGTTGTTGTGCGGATCATACAGGGGAGAGAAGAATGATGTCAGCTGCTTTGGTTCCCACTGCAGGGAAAGACTGCCCTTTCCCTAGGCAGAGGCTGTGGGTGGGGGGATGTAAACCTGAAGACAGGCAGGCAGATAAAGGTAGGCTGATGGTTGCCCGGAAAGGACGTAGGGTTGCCAACTCCAGGTTGGAAACTTCCAGGATATTTTAGGGATGAAGCCT